CGCGGTCGAGCTGCGCATGCCCCGGACCCGGAACCCGGGGGTCCCCGGACGACCCCCGCCTCCATCCGGGAGCACCGAGGTCAGGCCGGCCAGCACTTCCGCCCGTAGCCACTTTGTTTTCCAAAACAAACCCTCGGGTTTCCGGTCCTGCGCGGTTGCCATGGTCACCGCCGGGGGGAGGGGACGGTGCTCGTTTTGAGTCCCCGCGATCCCGGGCCCTGTGTCCTCCGTGAGTACTCGAAGCACCGGACAGTGCTGGAGGCACAGTCTCCCCAAATAGCCCTATCTATCCCACGTTTTTATTCCAGGCCGGATCCATCCGGTTTCCGCCGCCTGGGGTGGGGGAGGTGCTGCGAACCCCGAATCTCGGTACTGGTGCAGTGGAGATCTGAGGGGCAGAGGTTGAGGGTCACGGTGGGTGCTGGGAGGACTCAGAAAAACAAAACAAACACCCAGGAGAACGTCCGCTGTTAACTGCTGACTGCTGTTCCGTGCTAGTGGCTTGTGTTAAGTGCTCTCAGCTACTGTTAGGTGCTGGCTGCGAAATGTTAGGTGCTAGTAGCTTGTGCTAAGTGCTCTCAGCTAGTGTTAGGTCCTGTTGAGTCCTCGCTGGGTTACTGTTATGTGCTGGTGATTTGTGTTAAGTGCTGACTGTCTACTGTTAGCTGCTAATGCCTTGTGTTAAGTGCTCTCAGCTAGTGTTAGGTCCTGTTGAGTCCTCGCTGGGTTACTGTTATGTGCTGGTGATTTGTGTTAAGTGCTGACTGGCTAGTGTTAAGTGCAGGGAGCCAGTGTTAAGTGCTGACTGTCTACTGTTAGCTGCTAATGCCTTGTGTTAAGTGCTATCAGCTATTGTTAGGTGCTGTTGGCTAATGCTAAGTCTTGATTGGGTACTGTTAGGTGCTCTCGGCTAATATTAACTACTCTCAGCTAGTGTGAGGTGCTGTTCACTAGTGTTAAGTGCTGAGTGGCTGCTGTTAGGTGTGCTAAGTGCTATCAGCTACAGTTAGGTGCTGTTGGCTAGTGTTAAGTGCAGGGAGCCAGTGTTAAGTGCTGACTGTCTACTGTTAGCTGCTAATGCCTTGTGTTAAGTGCTATCAGCTATTGTTAGGTGCTGTTGGCTAATGCTAAGTCCTGATTGGGTGCTGTTAGGTGCTGTTGGCTAATGCTAAGTCCTGATTGGGTGCTGTTAGGTGCTCTCGGCTAATATTAACTACTCTCAGCTACTGTGAGGTGCTGTTCACTAGTGTTAAGTGCTAACTGGCTGCTGTTAGGGCCTAGTGGCTTGTGCTAAGTGCTATCAGCTACAGTTAGGTGCTGTTGGCTAGTGTTAAGTGCTGCCTCGGCCCAGGCGTTGGAGGCTCCGAGGGCAGAAGGCGGTCAGTGCTCGAGGTGGAGGTACTGAGCTCGGTCCAGTTAGGACTCAACATGTGCCGAGTCTCCTGCGAGCAGGGCCGTGTACGCGCAGCGTGCTGGCAGCAACCTCTGTTTGGGGCTGGGTGCTTGCACGTTCACTGCTGGGTACGCGTGTACCCAGTGCTGAGTGCTTGTGTGTCCTGTGCTGGGTGCTTGAATGCTGTCTCTCTGGGTGCTGTGCACAGTACAGGCCTCTGCATGTGGTACTGACTGAGCTCCTTCCCCAGAACCCTGGCTCTCAAGCAAGTGCTGGCTGGGAAATTCTGAGTCTGTGCACACAGTGCTGTGGCCCAATGCTCGGTGCTCCGAAAGGCTCATCCTCCTGGAAGACACCTCGGCCGTGGGGTGCTGCGCTCAGTTGTTCCTGCAGAGGGGAAGGAGGGGCTTTCTGGGGGCTTGGCCTGATGTCCGCCTTGGGCGGCTTCTCAGACCTTGGAACCCGGCCCCGTAGCCCAGGCTAGACTGCACATCATCCCCTGTTCTGGGCTGCATACTATTCCCTCTTGCTGCTGCACACTAGGGACTGGTTCCAGGCTAGCCTGGCCTACCGGCTCCAAAGAGACAAAGAGCAGCGGAAACAAACAAGTCATCCAGGAACAGACACCGCCCAGTCATCAGTCCCGCCACGCAGTGCCTTTTCCGAGTGTCACACAGTCCCAGCACCCACTACAACCAGTATTGGTACTGAGTGTGGACTCAGTCCCAGCACCCCCAGCCAGCAAGTACTGGTACAAAGCGTTTACACAGTCCCAGTTCCCGCTACAGCCAATTACTGGTACCGAGTGTGACACAGTACCAGCACCCGGTACAACCAAGTATTAGTACCAAGAGTGGACACAGTCCCAGTACACGCTACAAAGAGCATCGGTATCCAGTGTAGACACAGTGACAGCACCTGCACCAACCTAGTACTAGTTTCAAGTGTGGAGACAGTCCCAGCACCCGCACCAACCAAGTACTAGGACTGTGTTTTCACACAGTCCCAGCACTGGCAGCCAAGTATTGGTAACGAGTGTGACAGCACAGTCCCAGCACCCGCTACAACCAAGTACTAGTACCAACTGTTGACCTACTCCCAGCACCTGAGCACCTCATCCAAACCTGAGAGTCATCGCCCTGAAAACGGCTTTGTAGAAATGAGTAGTACTGAGTCCCTCGGAATCAGCACCTTGCCCGGCTCCCGTCTCACCCGTGTCTGTCTTGCTGCTTTCCAGGAGCTTTTCCGGCCTGAGCCACAGCGGAGCCCGAGGCCAGGGCCCGGGAGCTGGTCCCGGAAGTGCCCCCGGCAAACCGGAAGCTGGCTGTCCTTCCCATGTGTCTTCCTGCTCTTCGGGTGCTCTTCTCCCCTGAGCTGAGTCGGCAGCGATGGAGCCCAAGGTCCGGGAAGTAGCAGCAGCGGGCCGGGAGCTGGCCCCGGAAGTGCCCCCGGCGGGCCGGAAGCTGGCTGTCCTCTGACCAGTCCGTCCTGCTTCTCAGGGGCCGTTTCCCGCTGAGCCACGCGACAGCCATGGAGGACAAAGTCCCGGAAGTAGGGCCGGCGGACGGGAAGCCGATCCCGGAAGCGGCCCCGGCAGACCGGAAACCGGCGGAGGCGAAGGCCTCCAAGGCCCCGGAAGCGGCCTCCGCCGACTGGAAGCCGGCCCCGGAAGTGCCCGCGGGGGACCGGAAGCTGGTGGCGCACCCGCGGGCCAAGAGCAAGGTGTGGAAGTACTTCGGCTTCGACTCGGACGCCGAGGGCTGCATCGTGCAGTGGCGGAAGATCTACTGCCGCGTGTGCCGGGCGCAGATCGCCTACTCGGGAAACACGTCCAACCTGTCCTACCACCTGGAGAAGAACCACCCGGACCAGTACTGCGAGCTCGTGAGGAGCAACACCGAGCACATGCGCGAGGCCTTCGCGTCCGCCTACAGCCGGCTCAAGCCGGACTCGGGCCCCGGCCCCTGCCGCTCCCCGCAGCCGCCGCCGTCGCCGCCCGACGCGTTCGCGCCTCCGCGGTCCAGCCTGGGCTACGACACCAAGCGTCACCGGGACATCACCGCGGCCGTGCTGGGCGTCATCTGCGAGGGGCTGTTTCCGGCGTCCGTGGTGGACGAGCCGACCTTCCGGGCCCTGCTGCGCGCCGCAGAGCCGCGCTACGAGCTCCCCGGCCGGAAGTACTTCCTGCAGGCCGTCCCGGAAAAGTACGCGCGGGTGCGGGACGCGGTGCGGAAGGAGCTGGGCGAGGCGGCCTGGTGCGGCGTCTCCGCCGACCTGTGGGCCAGCCCCAGCCACAACCGCACGTACGTCACGCTGGCGGTGCACCGGCTGGGCGTGACGTCACAGGGCGGCCTGGCGCTGACGTCGCGCTGCCTGAAGACGTTCGAGGTCCCCGACGACGACGACGCGGCCGAGACCGTCACGCGGGTGCTGTACGAGGTGTTCGTGGAGTGGGGCCTGGGCAGCAAGGTGTTCGCGGCCACCACGGACTTCCGGAAGGACCTGGTCCAGGCCTGCTCGCTGCTCGACGTCCCGGTGCACTTACCCTGCCTGGCCAGCACCCTGGACGCCGGCATCCAGCAGGCCCTGCGGCTGCCCCGCCTGGCCGCGCTGCTGGCGCGCTGCCGGAAGCTGGTGCGCTACTTCCAGGGCTGCTCGGTGGCCCGCTGCTTGCTGTACGAGAAGCAGCGGCAGCACGGCCTGCCGCGGGGCATGCTGGTGAGCGACCGAGTCCCCGGCTGGGGCAGCACCCTGCTCATGCTGCGGCGCCTCAAGGAGCAGCAGTTCTGCGTGGCGGCCGTGCTCCTGGCGGACAGCAACAACCACCACCTGATGCTCGAGGCCGCCGAGTACGGCACCCTGGACGCGCTCCTGGAGCTGCTGCAGCCGTTCCGGCAGGTGGCGGAGGTGCTGGGCTCCAAGTACCCCACCATCAGCATGGTCAAGCCGCTGCTCCACATGCTGCTGAACACCACCCTGGTCGCCAAGGACACCGAGTGCACCGACATCAGCACCGCCAAGGAGCTCATCGCTCGGGAGCTGACCCGGAAGTACCGCGACCAGCCGGAAGTGGACATGTTCCTGAACGTGGCCACCTTCCTGGACCCGCGCTACAAGCGGCTGCCCTTCCTGTCCGGCTTCGACAGGCAGCGGGTCGAACTCCGCGTCATCGAGGAGGCCAAGGCCTTCCTGGACCGAGACGGCGACCGCGTCCGCTGCGCGATGACCGAGTCCCCGGCGGACGGCGTCCCCGAGGACCCGCCGGCCAAGAGGTTCCACGCGGGCGCGTGCACCGAGCCCCCCGGCACCGCCATCCACAGCATGCTGGCCGAGATCTTCTGCCCCGCCGGGGCAACCGAGGACCAGGAGGAAAACCACGCCCAGGTGGTGGAGGAACTCGGCAATTTCAAGTCCCAGAAGGTGCTGGGACTGAGCCAAGACCCGCTCAAGTGGTGGTCGGACCGCCGGGCCCTGTTCCCGGTGCTCCCCCGGGTGCTGCAGAAGTACTGGTGCGTGGTCCCCACGCGCGTGGCCCCCGAGCGGCTCTTCGGGTCAGCGGCCCGGGTGGTCAGCGCCAAGCGGAACCGGCTGGCGCCGGCTCACGTGGACGAGCAGGTGTTCCTCTACGAGAACGCGCGGGCCGTGGGCGACCTCGAACCCGAGGACGAGGACGAGGGGGACTGGGGCCTCGGCCCGGACGGTGCGGGCTTCCTGGGGGCCAGAGACGCCGGCTTTCTGTAGGATGTGCACCCGCCCTGCGGGGGGGGGGGGGAGGGAGGAGTCCTGCGTCCCGGAGGAGGGCGACTGTCCGAACGTCCTGGTGGGGGGATGACTGTTCCAACTTCCTGGCGGAGGCGACTGTCCAGACTTCCTGGGGTAGCGACTGTCCAGACTTCCTGGGCGGGGCGACTGTTCCAACTTCCTAGGATGGGGCGACTGTTCCAATTTCCTGTGTGTGAGGGGGGGCGACTGTCCGAACTTCCGGGTGCAAACCCAAATTTCCGGCCGCGGGGTCCAGGCTTCTGGAATCCTGCAGACTACCTGTACTTCCTGGTGGAAATCTGGAACACCTGTTATTTCTGGGTGCCGACAAGGAGACTCTGCACTTCCGGGAGGAAATTGGGAACTTCTGGTGTTTCCGGGTCAAACCCGGAAACTTCTGGAACTTTCAGGTGGAAACGTAGAAACTTCCTGTACTTCCGGGTAGAAACAGGAAGGCTTTCTGTACTTCCGGGTGGGAACCCAGGATCTTCTGGCCCCCAAACCCTGTTGACAGGAAATGGCTCGTGTTCCCGGAAACACCAAAAAGAAAACTTAGGAAAATGAAATCGAGTGAGTTTGCGTGTGTCACGTTTCTGTCTCTTCGTCATCCTCTGGGGTGCTGGGGTCACAGTCCTCCATCACCACACCTGGCTCAGTACTCCTGACTTTAGAAAAATCCCAAGGTGTAGCTGGAACCTGCTCCATTCGCTTCGATCAAAGGCATTTGAAGGAATTCGGTGCTTGTTAAAGTCCTTATTGCATTCAGTTCTCTGGGACTGAGCACACGTCAGCCAGCACTCAGAGGGCCAGAAGAGGGCGGGGAATCCACTGGAGCTGAGCTTTCAGGAGGTGGTGTGGGTACTGGGACTCACGGAGCTACAAGCACTCTGCCCACTAAGCTTCAAGCACTCTACCCACTGATCTACAAGCACTCTATCACTGAACTACAAGCACTCTGCACTAAGCTACAAGCACTGTACTCACTGAGCTGCACGCACTCTACTCACTGAGCCACAAACACTCTGCCCACTAAATTACAAGCACTCTATCACTGAGCTACAAGCACTCTACCCCGGAGCTCCCAGGGAGGGGCATCTTCTGGAATTTCTCCCTGAAGGTGCTGACTTAGTTGTCCAGGTCACATCGTTAAAAACGGCATGATGTCAGCAGGTGCTGAACTTAGTCCGAGTTCTAGCACGGGAGGTCAGCCTATTAAAAGGTTGATTCAAGATCCTGATAAACCGAGGTGGGAGCGACTGCTCCCGTCCGGACGGATCGCCGAGTCACCCAGCACCCCGGGGTACCTCCCCGCTTGTTGGTTTCGCTGCTTTCACTGTCAGTTGCGTGCCCGGTGCAGTCAGAGATGTTTGCTGATTGACCTTTGTTCCTGCCATGCGGAGGAGCTCTATGCAGAGCACTGTAATGAGCATCTGGGCATGGGGAGGATGGAGCTCAGAGCATTCCTGCTGTCAGCTCGGGGTGCAAAGTCGGGGCTAGACCTCAACCCCTCCCACAAGGCCATGCGACAGCATGAAACTCAACACTCCATCCTGGGTAGAGTGCTTGGAGCTCAGTGGGCTAGAGTGCTTGTACAGTGCAAAGGGTGCTTGTAGCTAAGTGGGCAGAGTGCTTGTAGCTCAGTGAGTAGGGTGCTTGGAGCTCAGTGGGTAGGGTGCTTAGAGCTCAGTAGGCGGAGCGCTTTAGCTCAGTGGGTAGGGTGCTTAGAGCTCAGTGGGCAGAGCGCTTTAGCTCAGTGGGTAGGGTGCTTAGAGCTCAGTGGGCAGAGCGCTTTAGCTCAGTGGGTAGGGTGCTTAGAGCTCAGTGGGCAGAGTGCTTTTAGCTCAGTGTGTAGACTGCTTGGAGCTGAGTGGGTAGGGTGCTTGCAGCTTAGTGAGCAGAATGCTTGTAGCTCAGCGTCTAGAGTGCTTGCAGTTTCAGTGGGTGGACTGTAGCTTAGTGTATAGAGTTCTTGTAGCTCAGTGATAGAGTGCTTCTAGCTCAGTTGGTAGAGTACTTGTACCTCGGTGGGCAGAGTGCTCTGGAGGTCGGTTGGTCAGATGTTTACAGCATCAGTGTGTAGGGTGCTTGTAGCTCGGTTGGTAGGGTGCTAGCCTCGCACACACAGCAGCCTGGGTCCCACCAGCACCTGCTGTGTTGACTCAGCTCTGTCCTCCTAGCACTCAGGAGGTGGCGACGGGAAGATCAGGAGCTGAAGCTCGACCCTGGGTGTCTGGTTAACCTGGGCTCCTTGACACCCTCTCTGTGGACTTAGCTGCAAGCACCTTGGCTCACTGAGTTTTCTTACTGACCCACGTCTTTATGTTCCCATGTGAACTGGGGGATCACTGTGCGTAGCACCAAGACATGGGAACTCGGTGATCCCAAGAGGAACAGGGGCCTGGATTTTCGGGGTGCTGGAAACCTCCGTGCGTGGACTCTTGACTGACGTGTCTCCCCGCAGCGTTGCCCCAGCAACCGGACCGCGTGGCCATCGTGACGGGTGGGACTGACGGCATCGGCCTCTGCACGGCTTGGCACCTGGCGCGGCTTGGCCTGCACGTCATCATAGGTGAGGCTGGTGCGGGTGCGGCGGGGTGCTAGTGCTGGGTACTCGGTCCTGCTCCCTAGGGTTAGCCTGTGCTCAGTCAGCCCCGTCTCTTTAGGCCTGAGGTGACGCAGAGCATCATGGGAGCACGGGGTGGGCCACCAGACCTGGTGACGTCACGGTGGGCAGGAAGGAGACAAGAGACTTGGGGTCCCAGTGTTCCCTTCCAGGACATGCCCCTATGACATCACTGACTCCCACTCGCTTAGCGGCATGGAACACTTGGGGGGAAACCAGACCTGCTGACGTCATAGGGAACCAGAAGTAGGGAGGGAGAGAGGCAACTGGACACATCGTCCCCTGCATAGCCACACCGCTATGACGTCACATGCTCCCACTAGCAGAGCCCGATGGGAGCGTGGGGTGCGGCTGAGTGGCTGACGTCATGGTGGACAGGAAGTAGAGAGGAAGAGGCTGGGGTTGGGGGTCTCAGTGTCCCCGGCAAGGAGCCACCCCTATGAGGTCACTTCCTCCCTCAGCAGTCATGGAAGGACACGTCCCTATGACGTCACTTCCTCTAGAAGAGCATCGTGGGAGCACTTGGGGGACCGGACCTACGGACATTGTAGGAGACTGGATCCCCCCAGGCTACGCCTCTGTGACGTCACTTCCCCCTCCCCCAGTCCACACAGTCCTTAGGAAACCTGAGGACTCTCAAGGGAGGTGTGCACAGAGGTAGCCGCAGATAGCCCACAGGAAGTCAGACTTCCGGTGCCGTGTGCGCCCGGCACATGCACGAGACATGAGGAGTCCGTGCACGGCTGGGAGGCCTCGGCTATAGCCCAGGTTAGCCCATGGGTGCTGACTGCGCCCACCGCACCTGCAGTGCTGCTTGGGAGGTTGAGGTGGGAGGGTCTTCCGTTTAACATTGGCCTGGGCTACGGAGGGACTTCTGGTCCAGCCTAGGCTACGGGGGGTCTGGTCCAGCCTGGGCTACATAGCAGGTTCTTGGGCAGCCTGGCTACAGAGGGCCCCGGATTCCCTGGAGCTGGAGTTTCAGGAGGCCGTGGGTGCTGGAAGTGAGCCTGGGTTCTCTGGGAGTGAGCCGCGGGTGCTGTCTCTTACTCGCTGAGTCCTTTTTCAGCTGGAAATAAGGAGGGAAAAGCTCAGGACGTCGTTCAGAGAATCCGAGAAGAGACGCACAACGACAAAGGTGAGTAGGGGCCTGGGTGCTGGGCTCAGTTCTCAGTGCTGGGCTTTGTCCTGGGTGCTGGGCTCTATCCTGTGCACTGTCCTAGGCTAGATCTCTGTATCCTTTCCGGAGGGTGGACTGGACAGAGCCGCCCTGTGCGTGGACCCAGCTATTATGGGATGGCCTGGGGCAGAGCCGCCATGTGTATGGAGCTAAGTATTGTGGGATGGATGGTTATGGGATGCACCGTTATGGGATGGCCTGGGGCAGAGCCGCCATGCGCTTCTCTGGGGTGGTAATTTCACGAACCCCTAACCCTAACCCTAACTCTTCCCTCCGGTCCTCGGGACTCCTGCAGACTTCTTCCCAGCATGCCTCGCTCCGGTCCCTGTCCCAGGGCGTCACCGCTGTTCACACCCTGTCTTTCAGTGGAATTCCTGCACTGTGACCTGGCGTCCGTCCGCTCCATCTGGCGCTTCGTCCACAACTTCAAGGCAAAGAGACTCCCTCTCCACGTCCTGGTGAATAACGGTGAGACCTCACGCCACGGCTCCAAACACGGAGTTCGGTGGGCGTACGTCCGTGAGGGCACAGGTGGGTGGGTGGGTGATGGTGACGATGGTGGAGGTGGTGATGGTGCTGATGGTGATGATGGACGGATGACGGATGTGCAGACACTCATGAAAGCACTGACATACTCCCCCCGCTGCAGTACTCACGCATACATGTTAAACACAAACATCCGTGTTAATGAGGCCCGGGTCTCCTCTTTTCCATGCACACACTGATCCGGCCCTGGTGTCAGTGCACTCGGGACATGTTTCCTGTAAGTTCACACAGGATTCAGAGCCGGGGACGAAAGATGAAATAGTGAACCTAAACCAGCACAGGGTACGGAAAAACCGCACAGATGCTACAGGCTCTGTGTCCCCGCCAAATACAGGGAGACTTTTATTATGAAATTATTCCTATTTCAGAGACTGAAGGAAAACTCATTCTAGAAACCAGAGCGACTGGTCACGCTCATTTCCCAATTAGCTGCCTGAACAGTGGACATTTCCCCAGGTGACTCGTCAGCAGTCTCTGCCCTGAACTTCGCATTTCAACAGGTTGTCAGCCATCGGTGGGTGCTGGGAACCGAGTCCTCTGCCCTGGAGTTGCCATTTCAATAGGTTGTCAGCCATTGTGTGGGTGCTCGGAACCGAGTCCTCTGCAAGAGCAGCCAGTGCTCATGACCACTGAGCCGTGTCTCCAGCTCAACGGACGATGGGGTTATTCGGAGAATATTTATTTGAAGACACAGTCCATCGTGGAGGGGAAACTGGACAGCAGGAGCGTGAAGGGTGTGGTCACGTCGCACTCAGAAACGTGACACACGCATGCTGCCACTCAGCTAAATCGGTCCCTTTAAGCAGTTAAGGACGCCAGCCGGTGAACGGTGCTGTGCATGGTGCACGGGTACTCCTGCCTCAGTTCACAGTCGACACAATCTTCCTCATGGGCCTGCACAGACGCCACGTTCCACGTAACTCTAGAGGCTTTCACAGTGACGACTAATTGAACTTACACAAGGCAACCACACTGCCAGCTGAGCCATCGCATCCATCCACCCATCATCCTCCACCACCACCACCACCATGATCATTACCACCATCACCGCCATCACCATCACCGCCATCACCGCCATCATCCATCCTCATCCGCGTCTTAATCACTCCGTCCACCACCCACCATCCTCCTCCGCCATCTCCACCGGAGGCCCCGAGCTGTGACCACACCCCCTGCGCACACACCTGTGATTCTCCCTCACACGTACTAACACCTGAAATTGTCCCCCTCAGCCGGCGTCATGATGGTCCCTCAGCGGAAGACCGAGGACGGATTCGAGGAGCACTTCGGCTTGAACTACCTGGGACACTTCCTGCTGACCAACCTGCTGCTCAGCACACTGAAAGAGTCAGGGTCCCCCGACCACAGAGCGAGGGTCGTCACGGTGTCTTCCGCCACGCATTATGTGGGCGAGCTCCACATGGATGACCTTCAGGGCAGGTGAGCTGCACCCCGGGTCGGCCCTCCATGCCCCCCACGCGCACAGGTATGGTGCTCGGCTCACAGTCGGGCCCCACTCACTTCCTGTCCCTGCGACGCGTGTATTTTGCGTTCCATAGAAACTTGAACGAGAGGTCGGAGGTCAGTAATACCCCTACTCCGCCTTTAACCTTGCGTGCGCGGTGCAGTTTTCCCATGACTAAGTCAGCGAGACAGTCGGCTTAAATCAGGAGAGGGTGGTGCTGTGCAGGGTTTCAGGAGGGGCTAGCCTGTTGTCACCGGGCTCCAGGGCTCGGGGCATGTGGGGACACAGAGCATCATGGGAGCACCTGGTGGGGCAGAGCTGCCGATGTCATGGTGAACAGGAAGTAGAGAAGACACTGAAGTCTCAGTGACCCCTTCCAGGACACACCCCGTGATGTCACTTCCTCCCACTGGCCCCTACCTCCCAAGTTTCTTCCAACTCCCAATATCCCATTGACCTGTGACTCCATCCATGAACGAACCCAGGATGACATCAGAGCCGTCGTGGGGCAGTCACATCGCAAAGGTCCCACCAGTGGGGACGAAGCCTTCCATAAAATACCCTTGAGGAATATTATACGTCCAAGAAAAGGGAGAGAGAACAGGCTGGAGTCCCAGTGTCCTCTTCCAGGACACGCTCCAATGACGTCATTTCGGCCCCCACTTCTCAACATCCCACGTGGCTCCGTGGCCGAGCCTACTGTTGACGTCAGAGCCCTCGCGGTGCCACCGCTGCTTGTCAGGTCTTGTCATGTGGGGTTCGTGGGTGTTTGCAGCACCGGCTCCGTCTCCTCCTCAGCCGAGGCTACTCCCCGCACGGCGCCTACGCGCAGAGCAAGCTGGCCCTGGTGCTGTTCACCTACCGTCTGCAGCGGCTCCTGCAGGCGCGCGGCGACCCCGTGACGGCCAACGCGGTGGACCCCGGCGTGGTGGACACCGACCTGTACCGCCACGTCTGCTGGGGGACGCGCCTGCTCAAGAGGCTCCTCGGCTGGCTGCTCTTCAAGGTGAGACCCCCCGCGTGGGCTTCCGGTTCCTGCCAG